CTTAGAGCATGTCAGTTTCCTGCGAATATTTGCTTCAATATGTGTTTGCTGCATACTTCGATTTTACATCTGATGAAAGACCTTGTGTATGCAGCTTAACATTTTATACGTATTGTTCGTTTATAACTGTGATGCTCTAATCCCAGCTGATTAACCTTTATTTTTCTCTAGCTTTTTTCCTATTACCATGGTCAGCTTTGTTTTCTGAAACATTATCAGTGAAAGCATTCAACAGTTCATGGAAAGAGGTTTTTCGTTATTACAATTTTTCACTCGATGTGGCTTATTCTGTATTTTATGGATTCTATCCAATTATCTTCTCATCTATACCATTCGAAAGCTTGATACTACGGTTGTTATAGCTCTTTTTGCTTGTTCCGTTTCCTTTGTATACTTACTTTCCTGGGTTGTTTTACACCAGCAATTTGTTGGAATCAGAGTAAGTAATTTTTTTAATGGCTGCATTTTCACTGTTGGGACACAGGTTGGCTATTATGAAAACCTCATCATCATCAGGTTCTAGGGATTTAATCAGCTTTTATCCTTTATATTCTTAATATCAGGTCTTACCTTTCTGCAACTATTGCAACATACATTTTCTTGCAACCAAAATCAATAATCCAAAAGTTCATAGTCTGGACTTATATTCAACTCGAGTTATTTTCAGTTCCTTTGATATACATGAAGTTTATCTGATTCTAGTTGAATTAATTTACCTTCATGTATTTTGATGGTTACTGGAAAAAGTAGAGCCCGATTACTATACTAGTATCGTGTTTGAGGTTAGTTTGTTAATGAAGAAAATTTTTCTTATCAAGTTCAAAATTAATCTGTTGGTTAACAACTCGTGAGTTATTACCCAAAAATTGTATCACTCTTGAAATATAATTCAGGGTTTTGTTTTTCCTCTCTTAATAATTATTGCCTTCAGCTTGATAAAACTGTATAATTGAGTTGAATTTTTATGAAACAGAAATGAAATATTTGAGATTTAATTACTCCGATATTTCAAATTTATCTTAACCTAAACTGAGCATTTGGAGTGAAATTATTATTTTTTGTATATCATGCTTCTTAGGTGCAACTATGAACATCGAGTTTGCATATTATTCTGTTAAGATTTGTTATTTGCAAACTGTTTTGTATTTGAAATGTAAGTTAGTAATGATATTAATATCAAAAATTATTAGGAAAATGAGAAACTTTCATCTTAAAAATATCATAAGATGTTAACTATTTAAATTGAACGAAACCAGACTTAATATAATCAGATTGTTTTTCTGCAATCTAGACGTTACTATAATAATAACTGATGAGGAATTTTGTGTATTAGAATTATGATAATCATATTAGTATTATGAGCAGTATTGAAATAACTTAAGTGTACTTTAGTATTTATGGCCAATTGTTACCATTCAATGTAATGCAAGAAACATGAAGATACCAAATCAAGAATAACCTTCTCAATTAACTAATTAACACCCATTTCCTTTGATTATCCTTTATAGATTGTTGGACTGATACTTTGTAATACAGGAACTGCGCTTTTGGCCTACATGGATGGTGTAAATAGGACGACTCTTTCAAATGTTTTGATCGCAATGATTGCCTGTTGTGCTGCAGCTATTTATAAGGTAAAAATATCGACAAAATAACCTAAATGTAGCTTTAAGATACTATTTTGATTGTTATTTGAAAAAAAATCATTAATATTTTTCACAAAGTTAATAGACTTCAGTATATTTTCAAAAAAAATACATCATTAATCAATTGTTTAGGTATTTAGGCTTTAAAGAGTTAATTTTCAATCCATCTCTATAGAGTAAATTTTTATAAAAAAAGAAGTCTTACAATTTAGTAAACAAAAGCTTTGATGAACAATCTGTTTGTTAATTGTTTGGTTAAAAATATCGTTTTTCTCTTTCGATTGACAGGTATTTTATAAGCGAACCTTAGGATACACAACATTCGCTCAAACCTCATTATTTTTCACTTTGGTTGGTTTTATGAATGCCTTTCTCATCTGGCCCATGGTTTTGTTACTTTATTTCACCGGAGCGGAAACACTCTCATGGACTCATATTCCTTGGCTTCCGCTTTCAGGTGCTGCAGCCTTAAGTTTAAATGCTAATATTTTGGGAAGCTTCGGTTTATGTTGGACTTATGAAATATTTTTAACCCTTGGACTTTTATTTGCTATCCCTTTCTCAGCTGGTGAGTATCATCATGTAGTGATCTCAATCTCACCTTTTTGATTGAAACCTTTTTCCCTCTTTGTATCTCCCATTGCCTTGAATTTGATTTCTCTAATTGAGGTACTATTGCTTGCAATGTTCATCTAATCAGAAGGGAATTGCTTGATTTTTCACGAAAATCTAATCAAGCTAATTGTTTCCAGTTAGTAAACTCATCTCATCCTGATTCATAGAAAGCAAAAATCTGATCAACTAAATAGACTAGCCGATATTGTTTCAATTATTTAAAGTAACAAAACCTAACCGTGTATGTACTCTGAAAGATAATTTGCAAGTTCTCGCTCAAACTGTAAACATTTTTTCTGATTTATGATCAAATTGATTTTTTTATCACCCAAGGGCAATCAATAATTCCCAGGCTTACGTCTAATATCTAGAAAGTTTATCAACATTGCGTTAAATTTAAAGGAAACTAATGATTTATTGCTAACGATATTATTCATTATTCAAAAGTTATTTTTCTTCCACAATCACATCCTATTAAACTCAAATAAATGCTTAAATTCCAGATTCTCATTAAAATCAAACCTTTTTCTCTCTTTTTGTTCAAATTTTCAGTGATCGATGCAACTATCTACAAAGTTAGCTTCATAGAAATGAAACTTGGTGGAATATTGTTGATTATGTTTGGATTTGTAATTGTTTTATTGCCTGATAATTGGAACCAATATTTAGCCAACATACTGCGATCTCGATTAGCTAAATGGAAAAGAAATGAACAGCTTAAAAAAAACGGATCAAGGGTCCAGGATACCTCGACGGCTCAACTATCAAGACTGAGACACACCAAGTGGAAGAGTCAAATGATGATTAAACCCAAATTATGGTATTAATTCTAATAGCAATGCAAGAATGTCTTCATCAACATCAGCATCTTCAACGATTAAAACTTGATTGAAATATAAAAATCAACTGATGTTAAAGATGAGGCGAAGCCCGAGTGGGTTGCCCTGTGACCCAAAATGTTGTCCTGATCAAAACAAAAATATAATCGCATCAAACACACTTTTAAACACCAAACTAAATAACCAATGACAATTTTAAATATAATTTTGTCTATCTTTTTTCTTGTTATAATTTATAAAAGATCATTATTTTATTGTTATTGCTAACTGTTAACTCTTTTTATGATTTTATTTCTTTTGTTGTAATAAGCTCCATGTAATGATTATGATACTATCAACATGCAATGTTAGGGCAATCAAACGAGGATAAGAATTGTAATTATGCCTAAAATATTTCTTGCTACTCTCATTTGCTTTCTCTAAACAAACATTATGGCAATCAATTTAATTTAATTACAATTTCTTCTTGTTTCTCATTCTATTGAAAAATATTTCCATTTCTGGGAAATATTTTACTCAAAATGTAAGCAACGAAAAATCAAAGTATACTTACTTTAATTTTTGCTAGTAGTTAATCAAAACTGCTCACATTAAATGCTCTTATTCTGTGATTAAAATTTAATTGTTATTTAAAAGAATAAATATTTTTTTCGAAAATATTAAATAAATCTCGGATTAGCGTTGCTATGTGAATAAAGTCATGATAAAGAGTGAAATGAAGCTCTAGTTTTATGGACTAAGGCTTCTAAATCAGCACATTAGTATGATAAAATGTTATGAAGATAAATCATGAAACATTGATATTCAATTAAGTGCAAATGGATTGTAATTAAAAATGATACTTGTAAATAAAGCAGAACAAATGATTCAATATTACGTCTGATCTTTTATTTGATCTAGTTTAAGCCTTTAGAGGCATATTCAAGTGGAAAATTTAAGATTTTTTAAACAACATTTTCTAAGAACAATTATCAGAAAAATTTAACATAATTTATAACAAGAATAAAAGCAAAAATATCGATTCAGATGAGTGATACTAATCAACGAACAGCTTTGATGAGCAAAGCATTCCGCAATCAGCATAAGATAAGTTCGGAACCCCACGGAGAATCAGTAC